CGTGTGTAGCGTGTGTAGCGTGTGTAGCGTGTGTAGCGTGTGTAGCGTGTGTAGAGTGTGTAATGAGGACATGGGTCAACCCTGAGCCCTGCTCTGAGCTCCTACAGTTGGTTTTAAACCATCTCCTCTGTTCTCGGAGCAGTGCTCTGGATCTCCTCAGTCCTGAGGAACCTGCTCAGCTTACAGCTCAGGTGAGGGCAGAGGAGATTCCTGTCTGTACTTTTACTTTGAAATACAAAAGAAATGTAAACAGTTTCCTGTCTTTAGTTTTATTTTGGAAGATTTTCAAAAGTTCTGCATCGATGTGTCTCTGATGTCTGAGCACGCTCAGTGCACATCTCCTGCCTCTGTGGTCATCAGCAACGTCAGTACAGGAAGCCGAACCATCCTGCACATGAACAGGTGTGGACAGGTGTGTTTATGTTTGTGTGTTTGACACTAACTGCCTCTGTTTTTCTAGCATCATCATCATCATCATCATCAGCCAGACAAGTTCTGCCCTTTTCTGTTTATCCAGAAGCTCCCTCTGTGTGAGCTTTGATTTTAACAAAGACATCGATGTTTCCTGTCTGTCTCTGACAGTTACATCATGGCCGACTTCTTACAACGCACAATTGATGTCTCAATGGTGGTTTGGCAGTGGAAAGGTCAAACTCCATGTGCATGTTGTGTGGTTTGTCCATCCAGCGGATCTCGAACTGTCTTTCTCTATGATACGTAAGAGGACTGCCGTCGTTCACAGTGTTCACTAAATACCTCCATCAATTCAACGTTATCATGGTGACAAGGATCAATGCTGGGATAGAAGTATTCACTTCAAGGCCCTGTGACATTATAATGCTTTACACAATTTGTGTCAATTTTTGAACATTTTGTCCAACACTGAAGACTGATTGTGCGTCTAAGATGGAATAAAAAATCTATTGGTAGCCTCTTTTGGACGTACAGTATACATGCTGTAATGGTACCAATTAGATAGGTGCAACAACTAATCGATCAAATCCATAAAAATCGATTATTAAAAGCGTTGGCAATGAATTTCATTATTGATTCGTTGTGTCACAGGATTTATG